GTCGCCATGATCAGAGGAATGGTGCCCCATTTAGAGGGCATGTCGCCAGGCTAACGTAAAATCGTCAAATATGGAAGGGAATGCATTGATAGCGCATGTTAGCGAGCACGTCGATAAGATACATCACTTTACAGCTCCCAATCCCGCTACCACGTGCCGGAAGCATGTCAAACCTCCGCAGAGGGTCCTCCCAAGCGTCTCCAGCCATCTCACATTACAGTCCGCCATACCACTGCCCGCCAATCTGTCAAAGTGCTGTCAGCGCCGGCAGCCGGGTGTGATGGGCGCCGCCCACCGCTACTCCAGGCGGGGCACAAACAAATAACCATTCCCTGCAAACTGACCAAACAGCGGAGATCCTGAGGGAACACGCTGCTCACGTCAGACAGTCGCGGCAGAATGTGCAAATTAACTGCAGAATAGCAGAGACGGGAGCATACCCGTTGCTACTGAACTTCATGGTTCCTGTTTGTGTTCTGTGAAATAAGTTCGCCAGTCATGCTTGTTGCAAGAAAGTGGAAGAGCGCAACGGGGTGATTCGTTAGTTAGGCGACTGGGCGATTCGTCAGTCGGACAGTTGGCGTCCTGGCCAACCGGTCGGTTCGGGTGGCTAAGCCCCGCAGGCCGCAGTGGCTGGACGGTACATAACACCAATTACCTAACGGACCGGTGCGACGCGACGGTTGACTCGTCCTACGACCTGTGTGCGTCGTGCGATACGGTAGAGATCGGAATAGGCTGGAGAAACCGGACGGGATGGGATGCCTACAGCAGACAGCACTGTCAACGTTACCGGCAATGGAACCAACACCGTCACAGACACCGTCACACGCACTGAGCGGTACCGTGACGGGGCCGCACGCGCGGAGGACGCCACCACACGCACAGCGAATCAACACGCGGACAGCGAAACGCATCCTCACGCGGAACCCAGACGCGTACAGACAGACGGTGAATGGGTGGGTACTAAGAAGGTCCATGCCCCGTGATATGAACCACAACAATTAAAGATTTCACTTTTATAAGCGGTAGCCCCCCTCCCTGGAATTAGAAATCCTGCAATTTGCACCCTTGGACGGTAGGACGGGAGGACGTTGGCGTGACCCCTCATATTTGCCCCCTAGTTGCCTTAATTATTTATTTTATTTATTTATTAGCCATTTATTAACCCGCGCCCTGGTGGGGTCTGTTTATAACGCGACCTGGTGGGGGGGGGGCTATTTTTTGCCCCCCCCCCTCGTATCTCCGAAACTACTGGACGGATCCGCAAACGGCGTTCGAAAGGCCTGTCAAATTTGTCCAAGGAAACCAATTTTTATTGACTTCGGGGTCACCGATGACGTCACAGGTCAGGTCAAAGATGAAATGTTTCACCGTTCACGGGTCTTCTAGGGAATGCGCTATAACACCGAGGAAAACGCATTTTGTCGAGAATCAGCGATAGGGCGTCAGTTGCCTAGTAGATATGTTGCTGTAAGAGGTCACTGGTCATACCAGGTCAGGTCACAGGTCAGGTCACCAAAGGTCACCAAGGGTCACCACATGAACCCAACTTTACTAAGGTTGTGCGATGCATGTTTTATGGCCAGTTTTTCATTTCCAACTCCATGGTGTTAGTTATAAGACCATCAGGTACGGTTTAGGTCACTTTCTGGTGGAGGTCAGGTCAAGGTCAGGTCAAAAAAGGTCAAATTTCAAAGTTGATATTTTTGCATAAAATGGGTATTGATTCGATGCAGCTCGTCACGGGGAGTCTAATGGTGGTCTTTGTTTTGCGCTACGAGGTCCAGAATTGCTGAAAATTGAGTTTGAAAATTTGACGTCATCAATTTTGAACAGTTTTTTCGCTATAACTTGGCCAAAAAAAGAGGTATCGATCTCAAATTTGGTATGTAGATAGAAGGCGGTAGGGACTATCACATATATTCCGTTTTTTTCGAAATTCAAAAAACTTTTTGGATTTTTTGGCTATTATATTCAAAAAATCTATTTTTGGATTTTTGGGGGTCAAAATCCAAAAAAATTCAAAAATCCGAGATAGCAGTTTTGTAGTCCTTCCATTCTACAGCTTTTATGTCTGCATCATTTTTCTGTATTTGCAAAGCCATAGGCCTGACAGCTCTTCCCGCGAAACCCTTTTTTGGGTCGAAAACGGCAGAACATGACGTCACTCTGACGTCATTTCCGGCCAACCTATCATAGCCTTTGGAAAAATTTTTGGTCACAATGTGTAAAATTGATGTCCGGGAGGGTACTGAAAGTTTGGTGACGATCGGCGCAGTGGTTCTGGAGATATATCGAAAAGTCTGGAGGGGGGGGGGGGGCAAAAAATAGCCCCCCCCCCACCAGGTCGCGGGTTAAGCCATGCAGGAGGCTAATGGTATCCGATTTCCAGGGTTCATGGGAATCCATGATCTTACAGACCAGGACATAGGCCAAAATTTCGCTTTTTTTGCGAATAACTTCCGAAAAAAGTGAGAGCGAAAGCCCAACAACGCGTTCGACGTGACAAACGATGCATCTACCTTTTGTAGGAAAATGTTGAGGTCAAGGTTATCCCTGGGACATGCTAGGTCATATAATATAAGATAATTATCTGATACCTACCAGATAATTTAGATTCCTGACCGGAAAACTGTAAGGGATCAGGCGTTTCCTTCGTCATAGAGACGAAAGGCCGTTCGCAATTTACATAGATTAAAGGTTTGCTGAGCACTGAAATACTCACTGCGAGCTCACCTAAATGAGTGGCAAAAGATGCAAAGCAAACTTAGCTAGAAGTGGCGAAAATGCATGTAAAAATACAACCAGACATGTGCATGGATCCAAGTGACGGATCTATGATCTCAGTGGATCTCTAAGCAAATTGCAGGTTCGGATCTATGATCCCATCGAATCCGGCGTGAAAAATTTATCCTGGTTCTATGATCTCACAGGATCTGACGATAAACCAAGGACATGGATCTATGATCTGAGTGGATCCCACCATGCAAAACATTTGAAACCAGGTTTCCAAGTGTTTCTATGTCAATAAGTGCCTTAAAACGATGGATTATGACGTGTTATCACATAAAATCACTAAATAAGAACGTTTGTGAGTTGCAACGAGTGATCTTTTGAGATTTTTGTGTTGATCAAAAATAAATGAGGATCTATGATCCCACTGGATCTCAAGCAAAAATACTAGAATCGGATCTATGATCCCTACGGATCTCTAGATAAATTAAAGAGCTGGATCTATGATCCCGACGGATCCGAGATCAGGATCCGTGGGATCAGATCCCAGATCCATTTTCTCGGATCCATGCACATATCTGAATGCAACGACTCTTTCATGACCAATAAATTCCCATTCTGCTCATCACAGTTGTGTCTATCACGCTACATTACAGGTTCCGGAGCTGTAGGCACCCACAGCAGAGACTCGCTTGTTGTGCCCAGCCGGAGCGACTAGACTCGGCTCGACACGACGCGAGAGACCGGGTCGGGTCGACCCCTTGACCCCGTGACCCGCACCGCGCTCAGAGGCCGCAGCATCAGTCGACCCAGCGGCCACGAGGGAGGGGAGCGGGGCCACGGTGACGGGATGGGGCACCGTCACCCCGGCGCAGAGGGACAGCGATAGGAGAAACTGGGCCGGGAGGGGTGTTAGATGCCAGATGGAAACTGAGAAAGAGGCACTAAACCTAACAATACTGATCACATGGCAGGATATATGACAAATCAGACCTACCTCTCGCTTTCCGCTAGCGTTGCTGGTACTGCTCACACGTCACGATGGTCTTGGCACACCCACTGGCATCCTCAGGTGCCATACACCAGTCACAAGTCAGTCCATCTACTCTCCCCACGTTCGGTCCATACCGGTTTCAGCGCCCCACCTCGTCGTTTCACAGGGCCTCTCTTCGTGCCCCGCCCGCCACGGCAACAGCGGGCCGACTGGTGACTGCCGGGCGCCGCCTGGTGCCGCCGGCCCCGTCCCACATACGGCTCATCCTCCCGGCCGCCACAGCCGCCGCCCAGAGAGACGGGCGAGAGAGCAGACGGAGAGAAAGGCAGAGGGCGAGGGACTGGCGAGGGAGAAGGAAGGGTGCGGTACGGGGAATAATGGATTTTCGAGAAATGCAAAAATGCGACGGATGAGTTTCTCTGTTGTCCCCTTCCTCTGATGTTTCCCATAGTTTTACGTTTACACTGTCTTTTTTTTAGAGTAGGTGGGCATTAAGTATTACTGGGTAGTGTCCCCATCGCAGCGTTCAATATCCTCCCTCTGGATGCGTCGCCAATGAGCTTAAACATTAAACAATTGCTGTCAAATACCCGTGTCTTGGTGAGGGAACAAATGACTGGCAATATCCACGGGCCCCGGATATTTCCGTTATCCGCCGAGGAACAGAGGCTCCTGTCGACAGCCTTGCTCCTGTCTATGTAGAGCCTGTCCAGATTAACAACAGCGGTGTAGTGTCGTAAACTAACGGTTAGTTAGGAGCCACGGCGGCATTGTTACAGCCCGACGCATAGAAGAGGCCTAGTTCGGAACAGGGAGGCCTCGGCTTTGCCCAGCTGTTTAACCTAACCAAAGTCAAAAACATCCTTTGGAAAACAAGGTCCAAGGCACACGGAAGTAACTTCCTAACAGAAGCATCATAACATGCAGTTATACAGTGGTTTCAAGAGCTAGTTCGGTCATCAAATGTGAAAAAGTTTGTTTTCTAAGGAAATGCATATGTCCGACCATACACTACTGTATCAAGACAAATAAGATAGGTACGTAGAAGTCTATGGTCCGACTAATTTTATGCTCCTAAAGGGGTTGCATGCAGGTCTATTGGTACCATGCCGATAAAGATAAAGACGTGCGTGAAAATAATGCTAATGAAAGCTAAGGTAATGTCATGGAATGGGCTTCAGATAATATAACAAATACTCAGATACCACAACGAAATATTGATAGAGGAAAGGCATCGGTAAAGTGTAAAGCGCGCTCAAAGAAAGTGAAAACGATGTGCTCATGCATTTAAATGTCCACTGCACAACATAAATGTAACGACGAATTCAAATCACATTGAGAAAAAAAATGCACAGCGCACAGAAATCGTTAATAATCCCTTACTCATGGATGGACTTTTGAAAAGGCTCAAAGAACTCGGAGTGTCATGCGCCAAACCTGCTTTTAACCACGCCCATATTTGCAAATGTCAGTTAACCCCAAATATTGAGCAGGTAACATTTACACAAGTGTTATTGCACTGGGACACGTGTGAATAAGGCAGATAGTGATGGGCCTGAGAACCTTCAGCAGTCACATAACAGCAAACCATTCACACCACGAGCAAGACCGATCTCGGTTCCAACCGTCGTTCCTCAGCAAAGAGGATCCACTAGTCAGACTGATAAATGTTCAGTTAAGCTTGGCCACCCAGTTACAGAGTTTAACGTATGCGCAGGTCGGTCTCCATTTTTTGGTCCACCATCCCGAACTGAACAGGGGACACGAAACACAATACACACTTGACGAAACTGTACAAAGTAAGCCCCTGGGCACTGTATAGCGTACGGTCCTGCCGCCTGTTGGGATTCCCACGGACCCGTCCTTTTGCGAGGGTCGATGAAACGACAGGTTCCGAGTTTGGCCGCCAGGTGTCTATTTGCGCTGTCGCACGTCCCCTGCAGTCTGTCCCGGTGGAGGAGGTCTAAGGAAAGGAGAGAGGAAAAGGCATGGAATTATCAGGATAATCTGCGCAAGAAGCTGAAAAGACGTATTTTCAAGAGAAAGTATGAAATGCTGCTGAGGACTGATACTTCAGTTTGCACACTATGAAATTGAAATGGCAAGTGCATGATCGATATGACCCGGGTCTTATCAGTCTCGTGTAGTTGCCCCAAGTGTTAGAATTTCCAACCTACGCCAAGTAGCTATCACAGCTGACGACTCGCGCCGGGGGGACGGCCGGAGCCGCGGTCACTGACTTGTCTGCGGAGCTCTCCTGGTCGGGATCCTCCACCACGGCCGGCTTGGGCTTCCTGGACTCGCAGAAGGAGATGATGGCAGCGAGCAGCAGCAGCTCGGCCACGATACCAATCACCGGCCACAGCGCGGCGTACTTGTCTGACCGCGGGAGTAAACAGATCAGCTGGGAGCTGGGGACTGATTTGACGGGGGTGTCACGAAATGTATACTGGACTGTCCAAGCCAGGGGAGGGGGGCGTCAGCTAGGAGCTGGAGACCGATTCGACGGGGAGCATCACAAGAGACGTGCTTGTCTGTCCCGACTCCCGGGCCGGAAATACGTCAGCCGGAACCCGGAGGTAAATTTTACGAGAAAAGGGCAGCGTGCATACTGCATAGTACATTATTGGTAAGGGTAACGTCTCCCAAGAGGCAATCGCACCCTTTCACGACAGGGTACGCATTGCGCTCTTTCGATGCTCTCATACCCTCCCCTCACCCGCTCTCCCACTCTCCACACGTGTCGTATCCCCCTCCCTCCATCCCCCTCTGTTGCTGACCTTTAACCCTGACGATGGTGCACCCCACGGCCGCGTTGGCGACGCTCTGGGCGTGGCAGCAGTAGTCGCCGACGTCGTCGGGCCGTCGCAGCGTCGACAGCGACAGCAGCGCCGACGGGAAGCCGAGCTCGTCCTGCTCCAACTGTAGACGGGTGGAGGCGTTCCCGATGGCCTCGGCGATCGGGTGGGCGTCTGACGGCGGCGAGTGGGATGTGGGGGGCTCGGCGGGGGGACAGGCTGGTCGGAGGTGGGTGGGGCTCGACAGAAAGGATACATATTGGAGGCATGTGTATCAGAAGCTATTGGTGAATTAGCCGTTTTCAGACGGTTATCTGGTAAACGTTTGGTTCACATTTGGTGCAGATTTGGTAAAGTTAGGCTCATAGTTGTTTTTAGTAGGTCCCCAGCTTGAGGAAGCAATTGTTGATCATTTGAATCAAATAAAGAAAACCAGACTCAATCACAACGGCCTTTCAGTCAGCTAGGACGGAAAATCGGGTGCCCTTGAGACGATCTGGATAATTCATGCCGGTACTACGAGCCGAGCGGATGGTCCCATCCTTACCTTTGGTCCAATGGACGACTGGCCAGGGTTTTCCGCGCATTTTGCAGTGAATGACCAGATCCTCTCCCTCCATCTTATTTATGGAAACTCCTGGCATCCTCACGGTGACGTTTGCTGCCGGCGGACGTAGCCAGGAACAGGGAGGTGAACTCAAAATGAAATCATCGATAGCACGCACACAATATGCATGGTGTAATGTGTCGTCTCTTCTTACGGATATCGAGAGAGATGAGATAGGTTGGCACAGTGGCACAGTGATCGACATATTTTACTTGGGTGTCAGAGGGGAAAATTGCTGACCAAAAAAAGGATGAGAGCCAAATTGTCGGTCAGGTTAGGCCCAAAAAGAGTGGGAAAATGATCAAAAATATTAATCTATCTAAAATTGTGACAGATGCAAAACAACCATTCACGCAATTGCTCCTTCTCGGTGGAATTGGGAGTGGAAAATTGGGTTTGAAAACTGGAGGTTAGAGTGGAAAATGATTTTCATTTGGATGTCGTTTCCCACCCACATTTACAAATTTTTGAACACTGGGTTGGCACACGCACACATAACTGCCAGATGATGATCTCACAATGCAGTTGGGCCTAATTAACGCACACCATCTCCATTCTCCATGCACTGCATTAGATTTATGGTTAGCAGTTAGTTAACACCGGACACCTCCACAGCGCCGCTCGCCAGGAGCTCCATCGTTGTGCTGCCCTACAGGTCGCTCCGCTCCCGTCCAAGCCGTGGACCCCCGACCTGACTCACCAATAACCTGGACAGTAGCCTCGGGCCGGCCTTCGGCAGTTTTCACGTCGAACACACAAGTGTAGTTGCCCGGGTCGTCCATGGGCGACGGCTCCAGAATGACCAGCGAGTCTCCGGCCGTCTTCACCCGGTCCGTGGAGTTGATCTTCTGACGCTCACTGCCTTCCGACGATTTATACCTGCGGACGAGGAGTGGAAAATAAAATGCCAAATAACTGAAAATGAAAATAGCCGATCGAAATTCCGAGCCGGGGCGATTTCCCTTTGCAAGTTTCACGGCATGACTATGAACGAAACTTTTAATTGTTCAAAGGAACCTGGTTCCTTTGTGTGCCTGGAACCATCGGTACTGCCTCTTTATGAAGACGGGTTGGTTGGCAGCACAGAGCTGTAACTTCTAATCAAATTTACGGTGAGAATGACTGAGTTCTCGTTGCGACGTGGGACGCCCCTCCCTCCCCCAAAGTGACCCCTCTGTGTGTCCCAGACTCCCAGGTCATGCGGCAGAACCAGAACCCACCAGGAGACGACCAGTACGTTGGGTGCGTCGCTGTTCTCCAGCGAGCAGTTGATGATGAACGGATGCCGGGGCATCACCAGCAGACGATCCGTGTCGTCAGCGCTGGTGCGCACAGACATTGCCGGAGCGACGGCTGGAACAGAGTAACAGCCCAGGAGCGCTGTTGTAAGCACGGGAAGGGCTGGGTGGTTTGAGAATGCACGGAAAATGATTGGGCATCTCGCATCCAGACCAAGGCAGGGCTATGATCCAGACGACATATCGTAAACGGAAACGCCAAACGGTCATCCCCAAACAAATATGTCGTGAAAGCCAAGACCCTATGTGAAAGATCAGGATCAGGGGTCGTATTCACGTCGATGATTTTCGTAAGAACTTTCTTACGCATGACCTACTTCTTAAGATTTTTTTTTAACGTGGACTCCGTCGATAAAAAATTTAGACAAGTGTTGACGTCAAAACCAAATTATGCTTACGAAAGAAAATCGACTTACGAAGTCCACGTGGTCGTGAATACGACCCCAGGGCAGGGATTTGAGCGGAATCACCACAGAGCAATCAGTTTGTAAAATGTGCAGCGAAAGGCTCGGCAAGGCATATCAATATTGATATAGCCTTAGCCAGGGCTGCAGAGTTGATGAATGTTCGGTGACTCCGACTCCAACTTCCAAAAACCAACTCCGACTCCGGGCAGAACTGTCGACTGCGATTCCGACTCCGACTCCGACTCCGGTCTCCGCTGCCCTGCCCTGCCAAGTCTGCGGAGTCGATGGCTTTTCTGTTTCTGTGACGGAGGCGGAGTGACTCCGACTCCGCCGCCGGCTTCGGTTTCCAAAATCGACTCTAACTCCGACTCCGGTCAGAACTGTCGATTCTAAAGTAACACCCATTGCTCCCCAACTCACCATTGCAGGCGGAAATGAAAAGGACATGTAGCGCAACAGCGACAATAACTTTCTCCATGGCCCTTCTTGGAACGTGCGCTCAATCTATCCAATAAATCCAATACAGGCAGCACTCAATGATAAAAACAAGGATAAAAACACCTTACGCAAACATTACGATTACGGGCAAGATTACTCATTACTTGCTCCAGGGCACTAAAGAGTCACTTGCTCATTACGGCTCAAATTACGGCTGTCGGCTAGCACTTTGTTTATATTGATTTCAAATTTGAGCATCTCCAAGGTCAGTCAAGTGCTGCAAAATGCCATCGAAAGGCGGATAGGGTGAATTGGGATGAGTATACAGTGGACTAGTCCCATAGCTGCATTCTATGAAAATATCAATGCGATTTTTATATTACGTAAAAAATATGACTATTATTGAGCAGTTGAGTTATTTGAAATAATGGTTGGATTTTAAAAGCACTTGTGATAGAGCTGCAGGTTTTCGTGGCAAATTAGTGCCAATGCCTTGGCGATACTAGCCGGCACCTTGGCCGGCACATTCGCTACGCGCAAAATGCCAAATGACAGGCGAAACCATGGGCTTAAGAACCTCACGAAAAGTGAGGGGGGCAGCGAAACTTCAATGTCACTTTATGGGAGCCCCAATACCCCCTATGAAGAAATTATTTGCAGTTTTGTGCTCATATCATCTTGCTGAACGATTTCCTTCTCTGAGTTTTGTACTTGAATCAAAATAAAGATTTTGCTTTTAAAAATGGCTGAAAAGTGGGGGGCCATGCCCCCGGCCCCCCTGTTCCTACGCATATGGACGAAACAGCTGCGCAGTGCGTATTACATAAGCAGGATAGGATCGCACCCGCATACCTTATACAGTTATGAAGCGTATTTGATTAATAATTTCGTTCGGTGGTTATTCGAATACGCCAAGCTGTACGAGTTCTAAATACTCTAAATAGTATTTACCATTTATCATATATGTTTATCATATATAAGCGAGCTTTTGATACTGCTTGTCTCATCGGGTAAAACCAGTCAGATGCATGTCGACCACGCAGTCAGTTTTGAAAACTCAGCGAGCTTATATGTTTCCATTTATTTTATCAAACTACATATACACATACAGAGTCATCGAATGCGAACACAAGAGTATAAAGTTATCAGCCGGAGTGATCCAATTGGCAACCAGCGAAAGACACGACCCGGCTATTCTCGGTGATTGCCCAGGTGGGTGCTAGATGGCAGGTCGATCGCCCCAGTTCGCTCACAGAGTGAAATATCGGTCAGTCGGACCAGGACAGCATGGCCGCGATCCGGCATCAGAGGATGGTCACAGTCATCGCATACAAGACACTGGTATTCATCGACAATACACCGCGCCGCCCCTCTCCCCCACCCCCACCCAGCACCCTGTGCTCTGCCCCCTATACATCGCCTACCCGCAGCTACCCCGCTCAGCAACTCACGCGCACACGCACACACTTATGATATGTGATTCGATTCGATACATTTACAACTAAATAGGAGCCCGGGTGAGGACAAACGCCACAGAGGTGACGGTGAAGTTCACACAGGTGACGCTGAGGCACTTTTGGGCGACCCCGGAACTTCAAAGACATCTTGGAACATCGACATTTGGTTGAAAGTCGCCACTGATGTCAACAGAAACGTCTCCGAAAGGTGTGGTAACTTTGGGCTAACTCATAATAGGACGTCATCCTTTTCAAGCAAAGTAATTCCGGTAGCTGGGATTCAAGCGAATGGCTCATAAAAATGTACACAATCTGTGCGAATCTTGAAGACATAATTACTAAATCGCACGAAAAGAAGAATGTCATGCCGTCAACCAGAAGTAGATACAGACACGGTCCAGTAAATGATACAATCACGACGCAAGCACATAACATATGAGCATGATAGGAATCCGCGGAAACACACGTGTCATTCGTTTGATTGCTCACAAGACTTAAAACTAAACATTAAAATTAATTCGCAAGTACCTTGCCTATAGAAAATCGCTGGTTACCGCATGCCGTGCACGCCGAACGATTAGCGCATCCTCATAACATCGAGTCACAGTCGCTGAACAGTGAAATATAACCAGAATAAGACGATTAATCAAAATAATGCGGTGATGCAAGAATAAAAGCAGTAGCCAGGCAAACACGAGAAGGAAGGGGAGGACAGAATGTAAATGAGATGAATCATAAATATACAAGGGTCTGAGAATAAATAATGCAATGGAAAGCCTCACACCTTCGTCACTAAGTGATTCATTCGCGTGACTGGTGCGAACCTGAATACCAACCACACGATAAGTATCGATATAATTGATGCAGAAGAGTTGCATACGCTGAAATAAGGCACTTATCGAGGAAATACCGATTGGAAGCACCGGTCAGGGCATACTGTTTTCAAATGAAAACTTCACCCAAGGAACCACATCTCTGCCACATCCGTTTGAGCACCATGGAAAACAACACTAGGGGGCCGCGCCATCCGGGGTCGCGGGAAGCTGCGCCGTGGCGTGCGCCCGGCTCTCCCTTCCCTCTGACGGTCCACACAGGTCAGCCGGTGGCGGTCCGGCCGCCACATTCACTCCACACGTCTTGGCACCTCGGTTCCGTAAGCTCCGTATCGTCCAGGGTCGCGGCGGCGGCGGCCGCTCCCCAATAAATAGACGGCCCGCTTCCTGTCCCTATCACAGCGTCCGGCGGTCGAGCGATATGTCCGACCCTCGCCACACCTCCTAGTCACCAGAATCGCTACGTGGCCGCCGCCGCCGCCGCCGCCTTCGCTTTCGCCGCCTCCGCCTTCGCCTCCTTGGCCTTTTTCGCCTCGGCGCGCACCCGCATCGCCTCCTGAGCAGCGCGCGCCTCGGCGAACGGGAAAATCCGATAGTCTGAGAGCACCTCGCGAGCCACCGTCTCGCGACTCGCCTCGAACGTGCTGGTGGAACCCTCGCACATGACGCGCTGCTCGCGGGTGAGGTTGGCCGAGGAGCACGCCATCGGGTGGTAGATGTGGATCATCCCCGGCTCCGTGGTGCGCATCATCGTGTAGTTCTGCGGGCTCTTGAGCAGCCGGTTGGCGAAGTCGACGTCCTCCTTGCCCCAGCCGGTGATGCCCTCGTCCAGGCCGTGCACCAGCTTCAGGTCGGAGACGTAGACGGCGCAGATGCCGAAGCCGAAGTTGCGGAAGCGGCCGCGGCGCGGGTCGACCTCGGGAGAGTCGGCGGCCACCTCGGCCAGTCCCAGACTCTCCGGGTTGTACTGGCTGAACACGATCGGGAAGTAGACCTGGCGACAAACGGACCGAGTAAGTAAAATTCAGAATTGATACTGTATGTCAGCGATATGGTTCACAAGGTCTCCCTTGTGTGAGACAATAACATAACTATAATAATTGGTTAAGTGCTCCTTTAACACACGTAAGATGCACGCTAATCCCACGGTCAAATCGTTGGTTAGAGATTCGGTCTGCCCACTTAGGTTATTTATCAAATAAAGAGCGAGTGAGCGTTTGGTGTAAAATTGTTTGACATACTACGTTCATGGAGAAAGAAACGGAAGTCATGGGTTCGCTGCCATACAAAACACTGACAGTTGACTAACAGTACAATGCACACAGTTCACGGTAATTCACTGACACCATTCCACACAGTGTGATTCATTATCAGACAAAGGAATCTGTGACACTACCGCGGTGGTCCGCTGACACCGTTCTAAAGGACGCCAGGATGTGTCGTTATTAGGTGGTGGCCGTCCGTACGATACGAGGTAGTAACACATGTCGCTTTATGATGCTCTGTATACGTAGTACTGTTAACACCTTCGAACACAGTAACCGGCCGCTTCTACGCTCCCAGCCCACCGTCTCCCGTCCACAAGTCTCCTCCCATGCCCCTGCCCCTCTGTCCACCGACCGGTCACACGATACACCCTGGGTCACACGCACCTGTTTGCCCTGCACGACGAACTGGCGGACCGAGTCGATGGCGGCGGCGTCGAATAGCACGTCGATGTCCATGAAGAGCACCAGGTCGTCGTCGGTAAGCAGGCTGGCGCCCAGCATCAGCGAGGAGGCGCGGTTGAACGTGTTAGCCGTGTTGATGATGGAGATGGACTCGCCGTATGAGGCCTGCATCTGCTGCATCCGAGTCACCGTCGCTTCCTTCTCCTCCTGTGGGGATAGAAGATATAGAGGTCAAATGTTAAAGGGATGGAAGTCATAGGTCGCAGACGCACGACAGAAGGAACAGGTCATGGGACAGAGGGTAGATATCGAAGAGCATAAGTCACAGCCCAAAAGTCACATGAAAGGAAGCGGAAGTCACGGGACAGCTATCTCAGGAGGGAAGTCATCAGTCCGTTTGGAATTGTGTTTGGGTTTATAGGCTCTTGCTGAATACCAAATACAGAACACCATGTGCTTCGCCATAGTGAATGGAAGAAGAACCACTTAGACCTCAACCATTTCTGAAAGAAGCGCCTTTATTCGCTACATACTTTCAAAAGATTCGATGTCAGCCTCGTTAAAGCGGCAACTTGTTGTATCGCTTAGCTCGCATGGACGATTCTGTCAAGGTCATTACTTGACAAAGGAAATGCATCAACGGCAACAGTGAGCCATGAACCACCGGACGAGACGAACGCTTCGAACTGCACTGCATGCTGATGAGAAACACTGAGGAGTGTCCATAGCATGGACGTTTATAGCGACTGGAATGTGAAAACAATGGAGAAATAAACAAATTATAGTGGCTTCTGCACCATGCAGCGCCGATAAAACCGATGCCCGGTGGTCTGACGGTTAAAGGGCACGGTCACATTCAGACACATCACATATTTCACATATCACAGGCACCTTTAGACAAAAGCTCATCTCACCTCGCTGACATCATTCTCGTGGAAGACGAAGATGATCCTCATGCCGTCCAGTCCGATCTCCTCCAGGTTGTCGCAGAAGCGGTAGAACGGCTTCACCTTCTTTGAGACGGCCACCACGACATTGACCACGGTAGACGTGTCGCGACGGGGCACCACGCGCACCTGGCGGACAAACGCGGAACTAATGGTTACACAAATGCCCAGTCACGTCCGTGCACACACAGGCATACTGGAGGGAGTAGCAGAGTCTACAGTGCACACTGCACACAATGACACGTAAAAAGTGTTGCATTTCCGTCGATGGTGCCGACTGTGCAGAGTTCATTGCACCTTGTGTTCATGTCGACATTACCTGCCCTTCGATGCGGCCAAGTGCGCTGAAAAAAATGCCACTTTTTTCCTTATAAGAACATCACCTATCTGGCAGCCGATTAGAATCACAGGTGCTCAGAGCAGTGAGCAGTCGCACAATATGTAGGTATACATGAACACCGGCAGGAGAGGTTAGGTAGGTATAATTCGCTGATTGCATGCCATAACTCATGAAATGATCTCACGATAAAAAAACGTTCTCTGAAAAGTCTACTGATGGGTCTCAAAAGAATGAGAATGACGTCGTCGCGTGCCCGACTCCCGTCTCCTCACCTCGGGAACTCCGAACGGCTGCTGCATGTAGGCGTGTCGGCGCACGGTCTGCACCACCCGCTTGCCGCGGAAGCGGACGTACTGGAGCACCAGGTCGAGCACCATGTCCACTCCGTGCAGCGGGTCCACGCGGTGGTAGGCGTAGTTGAGCTCCTGCAGCTTTAGGCTCCGGCCGCGCTCCTGGAGAGGATGGTCAGGGTTAGAACTGCGGGGGATAAAGGTCGAAACATCACAGTCAGAGGGCAAAACAGAACGATCAAGGGTTAGAAACGCAGGTGTCCGAGTTACCTAGTGCATTCCGGCACACAAGTAATGTGCTGTTTTAGATCAATAGGAAAATCCGTATACAACACATTGCCGTGTTTAAGCTCTCAAGGTATGGAAGGAAAGATGAAAATATGTAAATCTAGACCAAGGACATGAGACGCGCTAAAGCTAACTGATTGCGTGCTCAAGCAGCGCCGTCTTGATTGGTGCCGAGAAGGCGTAAACATAATGGTTTATCTAAACTAGACTTGCGTGCTTGAAGACCAGGCGGACTGACATGGTTCGAAACCCGGACATGTTGTTATCATTCCCACCAGGGCTGCGGAGTCGATGGATTTTCGGCGACTCCGACTCCGACTCCGACTCCGGCTTTCAAAAACAAGCTCCGACTCCGACTCCGACTCCGGGCAGAATTGTCGACTCCGACCGACTCCAACTCCCGACTCCGACTCCGCAGCCCTGATTCCCACAGACACTTCTGGAACTTGGGCACCTCCAGCCAGCAGCTAGTGTCCCACGCGAAATCGACCGGAGGCCCGCCCAAAACGCCGTGCGACTGGTGGTTGGTCACAGCGGACAATATGGACTGGCGCCCATATACCGCGCTATTAGGAAACCCGTTTACCCCCATTACGCGATGTTCTCGTTCACATCGATTTTTTTCCATGAAGGTGGCCTTATTTCTCTTCAATCAGTAATTAGAAACTAAAGCGAGCGCCTATAATTAAATGCACATAACTATTACAAGAACAAAATACAGCTTGTTGTAGGAGTCCATGCATTTAAGAATGCCATTTGAAGAAAAAAAGCGAGCAAACGGGGATGCACTTGGTGATTAATTAGATATCTGGCACAAAAATGACTTCCCTGAAGCTCTGGCATTTGGAGGAGACTGCACCGAACGAGAAGTGAACTATAGTAATTAGTAAGTACTAAGCAGAAAGTGTAAACGGTATAGTGTATACCCAGCGGACAATAAACAGCTGACAGTGGTTGGAGCAGTGCCACGGTCGGCTGCGATGATGGCAATGTCATACATGCAAGTGGTCGGGTCGTGGTAAAGGAAGGTCACTATCACTCCTGGTCACAACAGCGTGTTCCGGGGACGTAAACACCGCCGCCGCCACCGCTCGCCGCAGAGCGGTGCAGATAACCATGTCACCCAAACATCAGTCAGAGTCCACACGGGCCGTACCAGTATCTACGGGCCGTACATACATAGTTACACGCCCATCAGACTGCATTCAGCCATGAGCAGCCCCGTCCAGCCCGGGCCGACCAACGCAACATGCAGATCAGCGGCAGTACCAAGCCTATATGGAACTGATCCAACCGCTGGGAAATCCGGCGATGCAAATTTCAGTCCGGTGATCGCCACAGCAGCCTCCGGCGGCTACTGAGTGCTGAGCACAGAGGTGCGACGCAGAGGCCTCTGACCGAGGGGCAGCGGCATAAAGTAAAGGTTAGGCACTACCTGGTACAGCGTTAACTCACCTGATGGCAGCCAGATGAACTGACATTTGACATTTGCGGTCTGCCGCTCCACCTGAGTCACGTGACCAGCGACACTGTGACATTGCCACGCTATTCCCGTTCAAACGAAGAGATCTGGAACTCTGCTGATCACAACCCTCTGATAACTGGTGTTATGGGCGCCGTACAGTATTTATTACCTGAGAGAAGGAGAGCATGTAATCCATGAGCGAGTTGGTGGCGTCGGTCACTCCGTTTCGCAGGTGCATCTGGGCTGTCAAGCTGGGGTTCAGCGTCTTCTCCGTGTGCATGAAGTAGTGGTTGTTGAGGTGCGCCCAGGGACGCTCCTGCTCCGGCTCAGTGACGGCCAGCTTGGAGAGCTTCGGCGGCGATCCTGTAAATAGATAAGGTCGGCTAGGTTACACATCAGGCGTGCACTATTGGGATAATTAACTAGACTCATATATGCGTGCACATGCCTGCCATAATCAGAACGAGATTGCATCAATATCGAAAGAGTTGTCAGTCAAAGTTTGACGTTTATCCCGGCCGCCGGATTACGCATCGACTAATAATCCCCGCTGCATGTCTATCAGAGGACGGCATCCCATCTTTTTGCGGGGCAAGGACGCTCGCGGTTTTGTGCTAGCGGACCGCGGGTCCCCATCGTATGCCTGGATCTCCACTCCCATCTCCGAATAACCACAGACATAAAAAGTGACAAAAATATAAACCGACCAAGGCCGGTGTTAGCAGCGGTTGAGCGGCCTCCCACAATGGAACAACCCAGCCGGTTCCCCTCCTGTCAGCGTGTCCATACAGCCGCGGCGGAGTTTTTCGGCTCGTTGGAGACAGATGAGGTTGATTAGGCCCCTGTCTCGCGTGGAGCCAGACGCGCACTACGCAGCCAAAGGCACTCAACACAAAAACGGAATTGATGAAGCCGCCCGGAGGCAGAGATGGAGTCATGGAAGGCCTCGCCAGCGGGCCCGCCCGACCACCGAAATTACCCGGCAGTAAAACTCCCGCGACAAAAACAGCGCGGTGGGCGGCTCAAAAAACACGACACGACCAAAAACCGTGAGCCATGTTACAGTTCACGGACAGGGCAGGTTGATGAGACGAGCAGTTTACAAAGGAGCATCGTGTCGGTTATCTATGTGGGTTTGCTCCACCTGAAGGTAGGCGCTGGACGGAGGTAGGCGCCGTAGAGGCGCTGAGATCACGGGCTGGCCGGTGTAGTATAAGGGACTGTGGGACCGACAATCAGCAAATGGGATGGTCGACACCATACGCATTACACAGAGAGGGCAGACACGGCCTCTGCACGCAGCCCGCCCGGTTACGCGACATCCCCGTCCGTCCTCCCCGGGCCCGCCCGAAATAGTCGCGGAAGGACAGGAGTGAGGCACGACGGGCGAGGGAAGAGAGGGAGGAAGGCGTCGGAACAGACAGGAGTCGCCACCCTTCGCTCGTTCGAGGAAGGGAGGGAGTCTGGTGTTCCGATAACGCCACCAGGCGAGGAAGTGATCGGTGGGTCGTAACCACTAACCAGCCAAGCCGGTTTCACTGCACTGAGAGGACCGTAAGCAGTTTCAGTGCACTGGCATATTATCATTATTCGGTTTCACCGCACTGGGAGGATTTAGCCGGTTTCACTGCACTGGGAGGGCCGTTAGCCGGTTTCACTGCTCTCCCGGTGAACCAGACATCGGCATCCCGGTCGTCCCGGCCGCCAGTCTGTCTGGCCCAGCGCCGGACCATGTGAAAGGTGAATGCAATGCTTGGCACTAGAGTTGCAAAATTTCCCTACCGCACTACCGGCATGCCGGTAATTTTTCACTACCGCAGGTTTATTCGTGGTATCTGGCATGTCTTGCCGGTAGCATGCCGGTATTTTTGATTTTGTGCAAAAAAAATATCAGCAAATGATTCAAACGTTGGACACTAAGAGGCTCTCAAATTGTAGTAACAGCAATATTAGCCACTGCAAGATACATTTTGTGGGAGAAGTTCCATTGCTAAGTGTAGGCCCACATGGACCTCAGCATTTCACACAATTCACAGGCTTGGTTATAATTAGAATTGTCAAGAATCTACTGTGGTCTATAAAAGGAAGAATACTCATTCATGTTGCAAAAGCATGATAAACTAGTAAGTCTAATGGTAGCATAGGTGTAGCAACGTATCTCTTTGGTGAAGGATACCTTTCACCAAAGTTTTAGATTGGTGAAGGATCCTTCACCAATCTTGGACAATGCAAGGGAGGGTCTTCACCTACCTATGCTTAGAACTACTGGATTCGACGGTTGATCAAATGTCTGTTTTTTAAAGGAAAAGGGCCACCTTTAACATGGGGTTTGAAACTGAGATGGCCATCTTGTAGCCCGTGTCCGAAAACCCCCAGTGTCCCACCTTACGGCCGATTTCGGCCTCCATTTGTAGGTATCGGCAATTTTAAAAGAAAATATGCCAGGAATGCGTCCTTATCCCAGGAGTGCGTTCTTATCCTGTAATACAGCCACCCGCGGCGAGGCTTTAGTTTTTAACCAATCAGCTCCTATCAGCTCAGCTTTAACCAATCAGCTAATCTGACACAAGCCGACGAGACTGTCTTCTGAAGGCTGATTGGCTTGAGTGTGATGTCATCGCTATGACATCATACAGAAGGTGCGGTAGAGAGTACATGAACATAGTACCAATATGTTAAATAGTTTGACATACTTTTTTTGCGAATTATGCACTTCTGGCACCAGATTTAAAAAGAACATGAAAAATAATAATGTCAAAATGAAAAGCAACGATATCTTCATATTTCACGAAGGTGGCACTTTTCCTTTAACCCGCGCCCGGCTGGGGGTCCTGGATTTCCACGCCCTGCTGGGGGGGGGGGGGGTGTTTGAACACCCCCCCCCCTTCTAACTCGGCTCCTGGGCCACGTAGCGATACGCAGAAGGCGGCGTTCGAAAGAGCGCCAAAAATAATGACGAAACCACTTCAGTCACTTTTTTGGTCAGGTCAAAGGTCAGGTCACCAGATGTCATTGAAGGCAAAATTTCGCCGATTTCCAGGTCGAATGTCGACAATTTCCAAGAAGCCAACGCATAGCTCGGGAACCAATAGAGCTACAGCGCCACGGAAAAGCGCATTCGATAGCCCTATTAACGCCCTTTCTGAGTAATTCTCTCAGATTTGACCTAACGTCAACGGTTTTGCCTGCAGGGGGCAAAAACTGCAAAAATAGCCGATTTTTTTGGAAACAGTTTTTCTGCAATAACTTTTGACTCAAGCCTTGTACGAGCTTACTTTTACCGGCATCGAGTTCTTCTCGTCAAGACGCATCGAATGAACTATAACTTGACCTTGAAAGGTCAACTTGAAAATTCGACCTCAGGTCAAGGTCATGACCTGACCGGACATTGTCATGTTGCATATTAGTGGATCTGTATCGTCGAGCTGAACATATATAAGGCGTTTTCATCGCTCTAGCATGCCTCTTTCAAAAGTTAGTCGCAAAAAAACTGTTAGATACCATTCGTGACCTGAGATGACCCTAGGGGCATAAACAGGGGTCACGGGTGCCGTTTTCATGTTCAGTGTGTCAAAGTTACTTGTAATTTAGTGTTTGAGAGTGTTTAGAATGACTTTCGTCCGAAAAAGACGGTTTTGAATTTTCTCCCATTGACTTATAATACCTAGAGAGGTCGCAAAATTGACCCGACCTAAGGTCACCGATATGAAAATTCCGAATTTTGTACATACTGTTGCACTTATCAATTGCTGAAAGCTTCAAAGCGATCCGTCACTTGGTGTAGCTATGGCATACATTGAAACATTTTATGATGTGTTTATGAGGTGAGGTCACTTGTAGCGACTTGGTGACCTGACCTTGAAGGACCCTGGTCTGAAATTTTCACAAAATGCATAAAATTGATAGATGATATGGTGCCGCCGTTTGTCAGATATCCGCGAAAAAACCGCAGGGGGGGGGGAGGGTGTTCAAAAACCTCCCCCCCCCCCTCCCAGCAGGGCGCGGGTTAACACACTTTGACCATTTGCCCCAGTAGTCAAAATTCCTTAGCCGAGGCCCTGATTTACATCTTGCTGTCATGGCAAGATGCACAATTCAGTTTTAGGCAGGCATTGAAAATTTGACGTTAATGGGATGATACGGGCGTAAGATATCTGCGAAAAACAAGGGGTTGGCGAAATTCGCCCCCCCCCCCCCCCCCCCGCTTGCACTGTGTGTGTTGGTTGGCACGGTCTTGTCCCTTTTCATAAGGTTCAGGTGGCATCCTTCACCAATATTTTTGGCGCTCCTACACCCATGAATGGTAGGTAATACGTATATCACAATAAAATAAAATAAATTTTCATGACAACATTCCCTAGGGGAATAGGCAGAATCACAACACCAAAAAAAAAAACAATGTTTGGAAACTGGCCTTGAGTCCTGAGATCCTGACTCCTGAGATGTGGTCTGAGAAACTCTACAAAGAATTTGACACTGAAAATCCAGCTGAAAAGGCAGGTGTTAGGTAGCCCTAAGCCTGACTTTGGTCCCATAATTAAATGAAAATGGATTTGAACTGGCATTTTGTCTTATCTTTACAAGAAAACACATCATGCACGCAAAATTGACATAAAGTGGCGCAAACAATTAGACAACCAAGGATTTACTTTTAAGATTCTCTCTCCCCTAATGAATGGATGTAATCTGATGACGTAATATTTATTCATTTACCCTTTTGGTTGAATAACTGAAGAGAAATAAATTTCTTTGTAGTGAATTACACTACAATGTCGATTTCATTATAATTTAATATTGGTTGGATAATTTTTATTAATATAATCATTCACGAGGCAGTGGCTTGCAGTCGTAAAACATTTTTTTTGCAGCGTTTTAATCAGCTGGTGAAAAGCCTCTGTTATGGCGCATCTGTTTCGAAATCGATAACCTTGTGTTTGTTCCCGCTTGAGGTTGGAGAGGATGGAAGATATCGTTTTTATACATATTATTTGGTGACTATTCTCAGGACCAGTGAGTTATTAACACATTTTTTACATGATTCGTATCTTATTCACGAACCAGCAAGCCATAGTGGATAGGAAAAAGTATATGTTGATCTCGTTTCCTCAGTAAGGCAGATGGCCGAATCTGTACTTGTTTACCTATGTTTTGATCATCTAGATTTTAAACATTTGGCTGGTGCCTGCAACATTTTAGGAGAATATGGAAAAGTAGAACACCTGTGAAATGTAAATGTGATTACTGCTCACTGTCCAGTCTTCAAAAACACATTTCAGTAATTCAAGTCCTTTTTGTCCTCACCTTTTTGATGAATGTAATAGTTTTTTTTTGTAGGCAATACTTCTTTGATTACAGGTGATATTTTAACAGTTATAGACTGGAATTGAGTTTCAAAATTGTGGGTATTTGTGGGGCCAACTCAGCCAAAATCAGCCTGCTGGTATTTGTGGTTGGACAATGGATGGCTGTTGGGTGGGAGGGGTACTAAAACTGCCAAAATGTGGCACTCTTCCAGGGGTAAGCTAGAATCAAGAATGCAGGTTTTTTTAGTATGCCGGTAATTTGGCGGTTTTTTTTGCTTGGGGCGTGGTAGCATGCCGGTATCCCAGAAAATTTTTGTGGGGCGGGGCGGTGCCGGTAGCAGCCTTTGGGGAAAACTTTGCAACTCTACTTGGCACCGCCGCCGTATCCCGACTCCTGGCCCGGCCGGCGGCAGACACATTCCACCACACGACTGCATAGCTGATCCCGAATAAACTGGCAGGACGGGACGCTTCCGGGCCCGCGATCGCCACCACAATAAATACACAACAATTGGACACAACTCACCGGCGGACTGCCAATGACAACGCGGAGGCCATGAATCAAGGCATCTAATTTTTGAACAATTAAACAGCCACGTCGCCACGGACAGCTCAATATTATCGTCGAAAGACAGCGGATCTAATTTAATCGATGTGACATTATCCCGGCCAGAAACGATACTGTTTTGGAGTACAACGAACCCTAAGTATTCGCTCACACGGGGGCAATGAATCCAGGTAGCTTAATTTTTGACATTTCGGTACGGCTGGCTAGGTATAGGTATGATCGGATAGCTCGATGTTATCGTCGATCGACAGAGGATTAAAATTCACCGGTGTGACATTATCCCGGCCAGAAACGAGACTGTTTTCGAGAACAATGAACCCAGTTTAAAATGAACCCTTCCTTGGTTCCGGGAACTCGAGGTCACGGTAGGTCACGGGCAGAAGCGCACGGAAACAGCCGCACAACGACGGGACGTCAAGTAACTGCGACAGAACGACACGGGAAGACAACGGAACGACAAGGAACGACACAGACCTCGAGGCAGTGGGCGCAGTGGGGGAGCGCAAATCACTCATGCCGCGCGGGAAGCGGCAGTAGAGGAAGTCACGACATGGGACAGAGGGATGGCCAGACGGACGGGAGAAACCACGCGAAATTCGTGGTTACATACCAATCCCGTGGCGTGTCACAAGGGTAAGGTCTAGCTACTTTTTTTAGTAGAAGTGTGAATCTGCGTCGAGGAGTGTTCGTAACATGACGCACAAGTGTCACAGTCCAGCCAACCAGGAAACTCAGTTCGCAAGGAGACCACTAGTACATGTTAACCGCGCCAAATGTTGACAACTTGACAATGCAAGGAAGCCCGCACCGCGAGCACATTCATAACCTAATCGATCATGCTTCATAGCCAGCCAGCCCACCTCCCAGTCAATTCACCGTAGCCCTGAAAGACCGGTCGGCGGTCAGTCCTTCAGAGAGTACTGTCGGGATGGGGTCGCCCCGTGCTCACCGAGACGGCGTGTCAGCGGGCTGAGCGTGTCCAGCTGGTCATCTGGAGTGCTGCGAACCACCTGACGGTAGCGCTCCAGCTTCTTCCGCTGCTCCTCCTGCACCTGCTCACTCTGTGGGAGGGGCGGAGGGTCGCGGGGTCAGAAGACAGAAGGCTTACCTACTTTGCTAGGAGAGCAGCGGTGTGGGGCAGGGTACCTGGGTACACGGCTGGATGTCCTGACTGCGGGGAGGGACATGCGATAGCGAGTGTGGGGTCAGGGCAGGGCAGGGCAGGGCAGGACAGGACAGGACAGGGCAGGGCAGGGCAGAGTACACAGCTAAGTGTCCTCACTATGGAGATAAAAAGGGCCAGAACATTATCAGTGTTGTAAGGGCAAAGTACACGGCTGGATAGGGGAGGGGGTCACTATGGGGAAATAACTATATCTCTAGATAGACGTCAGGGGATGTGGCCAGGGCCAAAGAACCGAGCAACGCATGTCGAATGCTGACCGAGCAACGCATGTCAAACACATCAGCAGTCAGCACATTAGCACAGCGGTCATGTCACGGTAAGTAAAAGGTAGGCACGAGGGGCACGAGTACCCACTCTGCGCTGTTGGGATGCAAATGTATCGATTGAGTACTGTAGAAAACGCTCAAGACGTCCGTTTATTTAAAAGACGCTTACGCAGTTATCTGCCACAGCTCCAGTAAGGACAACTGGCAAGCAGGCATTACATAAAGTCAATCCATACCTATTCACTGCGATAGAATGGAGGTCATTTGTCCCAAGAAACTGCTGTCTACATGTGATTGAATGTTCCCAGAGCATCACCTATCACATGCAATATATTCACACGACCCGGACCAGCAAATGACCGTTGGTCGAGCGATGTGTTGTGTCTGAGATTGCCTCTCGGCTCATAAGATGTATGCCACTTTGCGATCCTTGCTTATGGTCAGGTATTGGTAAAACTGATGGTCTTTGCCTTCGTCTCCAGTCTGTCTCAACGATTTCTCGAATGTCGAAGCTATCCTTTAAAAATGAGGTCACTAATCAATGCTGATCATATGTATCATGATGTCTTAGGGCTATGACATGAAGTAATCTGACACATAGTCGTATTAGCGTGAGGTCAGGTGAAAGCTTATCATAACCAGTGACATATTGCTGAAGGTTCCTCGGGCGGCTCATCAAATTTTTGCGAGGATTCACTACAATCACCAGCCTCCCCGAACCAATTGTGACCTATTTACATAAGGCGCGTGCAATGTATCCGCGTCGAAGGTCGTCTGGTGGGCCTCTCGACAGTCGACAGTCACCGTCCCCTCGCGGCGGCCGATTTGGCCAAGGACATCGGGCGCCGCGGCATCCCAAGTTGCCGTCGCCGTTGCGCCACTGCCGCTATCGTCGGCACGGTCAGACGCCCGCCGCTCCGACCAGCGGTCCCACCGGTCGACTGGGGACACTGTGCGGACCGGACTGGGAGAGGGACTGGTGTTCCCCGCTCACCACCATCACGTGTAAGCACGGACGGTCAGACGGAGCCGCGCAGTGCCCCTGCCTGCCCTCCGCGAGTCCGCGCGGTACTCGAGTACTGCGAACCGAACGGGACGGTGACGGTACCCGCGGAGCCCAAAGACGAGCATTCGAGCGGAACATCATAGCGCCGCCGCAGCGACACGGCCGCCCAGACGGCCGGCCTTGGTGCCGACTTTAATTGATGGAAATGACATACCCCGCCGCTGATGACGTCGTATACCTACAAAGGGGCGCGATCCGACCGGAGATGCCGAGAAAATGAGTCGAGTCGAAGGCGCCAATCAGCTATTCCGAGCGTCTCCCACAGATCGTCTACAGAGGGAGCAAAACATCGCGCGAGGCGGCGGCACCACACAGCAAAGGACGCGCAACTTCGCCCGTGCAGCTGGCAGGGTTGCGAGTCTTTTGATTCGAGAGATGCCATCAGCAATTCGCTTCGAGTGGTTTTTGTGCGTGAGGTCTTACAGTTTATCTTATGTGCGAGTTACTTCTTGGGAACGGAAGGTTTGTGGTAGATAATGACGACCAAAAACAAACGCCAATAAGTTAGTTAACGTTTGCGCTATGCGCAGGCGCGTAACCACGAGTCTGAAGTTACTGGGGACCACATGGAGGGCCGCGAAGACCGAATATAATATTTAAGATGTGGGGTGAGATACGTGCAGTGGGTGGAATTGTTAAGGATAAAATCTAAGAAAAATATCTTAAATCGATCTGTCGGTTAACTTCGGTTCCTTGTATTTTAGGTGTCTTAGAACTTTTGTTGGCAAACACAAAATCTAAATATGTACATTGAAATGTATTGTCGAAAGATATTCTTAAAATGTCTTCCGTGGCCATAGTACATATCACTCTTCACGTTGATCTAGAGACAATACCTATTTGGCTATGCAAATTAAAGAGGTGGTCGGTTTTACTGGGGACGGTCCCCAGTAACACAAAAGTTACTGAGGACCGGTCCCCAGTGGTGGTTACGCGCCTGGCTATGCGGGCAAAACACTGACATTTTGAAAAAGCATCTGGACTTTGTGGAGCCCTAAACATTTGTGAATTGCCAATATGCAGTTGGTTTAATCAAGCTTTATCGTTATTCCTTGTGATTTTATTCTATCTAAAATGCAATTATTAAATAAATATAACTATAGCTGCAGTTCCGTGTGAAACTGACAGGTTCGGGGTCAACACGACATCCGTGTACTCGGCATACAGTGCCAAAGCCCACAAACCACGGCTGCTCTCAAGCGCCAGGTCCGGCAATTATTTACCATGACTGCATAGTGCATACCACAGTGGCCGCACGACGAAAGCAAAAGAAGACTTTGTAAAATCTCCTCATATATTGTTTGGGCACCAGTAAAGAGCAGTCGCTCCATGACAGTATAGGTACCTACCTCTACAAAACTGTGCCTACTAGAAAAACCGGAAACTTTTGAGACGCATTAGGTATGCTTCAGCATTAAATACCACAGCCATCAATTAGGTTTACAATGAAAGGTGATCTATTGTAAAAGAAAATCACCTTCAGGGCTTATCGTAGTGTCAAATAAACTGCAGAGTGCAGGCTCCGTGAAAAGACCAAACAACAAATGACCTTTTAATGACATTTATTTATTTTAGCACTTGCTTGAGATTTTACTTATCTGATGAAGAGATGCGGACGTTTAAATAAGTGGCTAATCTCTTCCCGTAAATGCTATTATAGCAACTAAAACGAGTGGCGACTGGTGTGACAATCGAATCGCTGCTAAATCCTGAATGAGCTTATAAATAGTGTTTTCGGTGAAGGTTACTAACAGAATATATATTTTAAAGTTAAAAAAGAAGCATTCTAATATGAAATACGGTAGTTCCACAAAAGGACACACAAAGTTTCAACTGGAGACCATCACGGTGGAGGCCAGCACTCACCAGGAAGAAGTTGTGCAGACGGTACAGCAGCGTGGGAACCTTGATGGGGTGCAGCGTTATCGTGCCGAGGAACTTGCGAACCTTCAGGTTGCCAGTGAACGCGTCCGTGCCCTTCTGGTCGTGATAGAAGATCTCGCGCATCTGAAAACAGAGGGTGAATGCGGTTAGAAAGGTGCAAAAAACGTGTAACGCATTTAGTCATCGCAGAATGTCGTCATTTCTTGAATGCCGTCCTAAATAGCTTGCTAGCGGCGAAGGAGATCGAGTTTGGAGAATCATGGGAGCACACGATATGAATAAATGTATAGAAAACAGGGAGAATACATGTGAGAAAAGATTGAAATGGCTGACAGATGACATGGAACATGACACCACACTGCTAACAACCACAGCAGTACACGCTTCTACCATTATCTCAGTGTCCATTGGTTATGCAAGACTGATTTCAGATCGAGAACTGGTGCACGGACTATCTAAACAACAGGAATATCTTTCCGTGTCAACACAGGCCGTTCCGGATCGTCTCTTTGAGGCTGAAGGCGCGAGACGGGGTGCCACAGCCCACAAGTATATCATATCGTCATTGATCAGACATCACCGACAGCACGGCAAGAGCTTCGCATGTTGTTTCTCGTCTGCTTTATTTACGGCTGCTCGCTCGTGCAGAACGGGATGTTGAGGCAGCGCTGTTGATTCAGCGTGCAGCTGATCAACAGAACTGACGTCTATGATGACTGTCGGTCCATGATGTGCAGCGTGCTCAAACGCCGAAAAGCCAAAAACTTCAGTGAGCACACAACAATCTGAAAACGTGTGTTTTTAATTTACAGTTGGCTGTTGGATGCAGTTACATTTCACTTTATCGCTTAGTATCACTTTTGTAAACGCATTACTTTTGTAAACGCATGACGTTTCATCACTTAGAGGGGCCTGCGGGAGACCGTAAACGTCCATATGTTTGGGTGATCCGGGCCTGAAATAGTTCTATGTATGTTTATCCGTGGAGCAGACCTCGCAAACGGTAGCAGTCGCCCAGTGGCAGTGGGCCCTGCAGGCCAGTCTCACGCTTTTATCCGCAATACCACGCCGCAGTGCCCCACCAACAATGCTACCGACCGGCTCCCGCAAACGCCACGTCACGGAAAACAAAGTGGCCGCGCGGCGACGGTGAGAAGGGGCATTCCTGACCGGTCACCGTTGGCAAACGGCCGGCCAGTGACCTATACGGCTAGCCAAAGACTAGCAAGTGACATTGGGTCGACCACGAATCGGCAAATCAACTAGAGTGAACGAACGGCCATGGGCAGTAGCCAAGGCTCACCCATGCCGATGCACAATGGGACCGGAGCGAAAATTAGCGCGACATCGGTACTTTTTCATATTTCGTGCCCGCTTTTCACATGAAAAGGATGGTAGAATCATAAAAATGGTAATCGGTGTACTTTCTAAGCAATTTCTGATTAATTTAATTAATTAATCATTAATTAATTCATTAATTAATTATTAATTAATCGGTTGACCTGCCCTGACCTCGACTCCGCTCGGTCACGTGATAAGACGGCAGCACCTGTCAGGCCAGGTCATGACGGCACCGGAAATTCCGATAAGCAAATAATGTAGCCACCAAAAGCGTGAAGATGGGAATCTGATGGCCTACATGACTATATAACAAATTTATTACGGGTCAGAAAAGTGTATCAGAAACTCCGATAGAAGGTACGGATATGTCCGGACAAAACTTTAATATAGTTGGTACTTGGCAACCTTGTTCGGTTCCTGAGGTTCTGTTACTCGCGGCTCCCGGCCGCGGCGACCTGGAGTAAAAAATGCCCCTCATTTTCGCTGCCGCAGGCTGACGCAGCTAAATTATACATTTTCTGAAAGGCAATTGATTGGTAAACACCATATTGATAAAAGAACAGCGGGACCTAGCGGGAATTTTTATATCGGCATTCCAGAATATCTATAACAGTAAAATTAACTCACAATTTTTAAAGCACCAAAAAAACTTAGCATTTGAAGCGTATTTATATATTCCGATATGAGTTTTTTCCTTCCATCGTGTAGCCCATGGTCTAAACTATCAGGTTAGACGTCGAAAATATTGATAAAGCCGTCTAATAGATATATTTTTTACCTACATTAGCTGCTATTTTTCTCCGTACGAAAACGGGTCTACGATGCTTGGCACAAAACTTTGTGTTTGGGCTGATGTGGCGCGGACGCTGTACACTATGGACGAAAAATATTTGCAGATTCGTGGTCCATGGACATTTCTGAACTACGTGACACAGTTTAACTCAATTTGGGAAAGGTCGCCAAATCCACCAATGTCGCGCTAATTCCGGGCGCGGTCCTATCGTGCGCGATGGTCTGAGCGATGGGTCAGTTCCCTGTCGATCGAAGTCCTGGTGACTCTTCACCAAGATGGTCGCTGTCCGTCCTCACACCCTATTAGCGCTGCTACCATCGGCTGTGAAACGAAGACGGTGATGCAAGCAGCAACCCCCCGAGTCCGTTCGATTGACAGGGCCGCCGCCACCTCACTCGTCACTCCTTTAGCCGTCAGCCGCCGGCCGGCCGCCCGCCACCCGCCGTCTCTGCAGCCATCTAAACGTCATCGCTGGCGCCGTCGAGACGTCATCACCGGCGCCGGCGGGACGGCGTCATTGTTCCTGCCGCCGCCGTCATCGGCCGCGCCGCCCGCGGGTCCTGGGGCAGCGCGGCGCCGCGTGCGAGCCGCTGCAAAAAGGCGCAGCGAGCGCACCGATAGCACGGACGCTCGCCGTGAATCACACGAAGCACGGGACGCCCCCGGCCGCGGCGGCGGCGGCGGCCTCGGACATTCCTGACGAGGTCGGCGCCGTACCGAGCGGCGCCACGCACCAGTTCGTTGAACCTGGACGACCATCAACAGGTCGCGCGGGCCGGCCGGGGCGGCGGAGGCGGCACCGCCCACCGTCCGTCTTCACGCATGTGACGAAACTCGGCGGCGCGGTGCGTTGAACCGGCGGCGCCCCTGTAGACGGTGGACTGGTGGAAAACATCCGGCGCTGGTCCGCGTACGCCCGGCCGCCGAGGGGTTCTGGGAATACCGACCCCCGCGGCGGCCGGCCGCCCGCGGTAGCCGACGGGTGGACACTCGGTAATCGGCGTATGCCCCCGTCCCTCCCGCGGGAAAGGGACGCCACCGACCCCTTCCGCGGCCACTTCCCACCCTCGCCCGGCGCCCCCTGGACTCGGGCCGCCGCAGTCTGACCCCAACAGGGCGACCTTCACCCGCAAGCTGTGTGCAGCTGACAGACGGTGCCGACTCGGGGCGGCAGATGCCGCCAAAGGAGGAAAAACGACCACCACGCAGGCCTGCGCACAGCGCTGGCGACAAAAAGCAGCCCAGCTGGAAAGTGACAGGCTCTGGCCGCTTCATAAAGCATCCCCAGCCGGCCTGGTTGGCCCACGTGGGCTGTGGTTTTCAGTCGAGTGGGATTGGTTCACCAGGGCAGGTCAAGCCGAGCAGACCTCGACGGGGCCGGAAATGCGTCTGGCCTTGCGCGTTGCCGAATAACAGCGCCCATTTCCAGCAGACCGAGCCGCCAGTGGGCCGGGAGTGACTCAGAAGCGAGGTTTCCGATCGCCTGAAGGGCCGGTACGGGTTCTTCCGCTGGCTCTGAGTCACGAGTACAGCACGCCCTCAGGTTATGAGGATAGGCTCATGAGCACTGAGCAGCACCAGGAACAGGTGAGGAAACGGCCGCCGCATTCAAGCCGCGATAAGCTAATAGGGTGCAGGCGCGCGTTGAAGTAAGCGAGGCACAGTGTTTGTTCAGAATGTTCAGACAGACCGGCACGGTCTGGACAGACGACAGACGGCATTAGGTGACAGGTGTGCACAACAGAATGAAGCATTACTATAGGGTATGCGGTAGCCTGACACGAAGATAGTGCGGCAGCTGACAGGGGACCGCGTCAAGAAGGTGAAACCTTTCAGACCATCTGATGACACATTACTCGTCGGACAGGTGGAGAATGGGCATCTTCAGGAATGTTTGCGACGATGGATGGGTGCGAGGAGCACGCGACAAACAACTGCTAGAATGCTGGTGACGAGGGACAGGTGCGGAAAACACGTAACAAACAGGAGCTGGAGCACGAGACTCGCGAGAGCATCGGCTTCTGATGTTCAAGATCGTAAAGCTCCACCGGGCGCCACGCCGAAGACTGATATCACCAAAGACGTGTATGACGATTGACGACCGATTGAGACACCGTGACCAAGCGAGGTCAAATGGCGACGGAGAACACGCTCAAGACCACAGCTCAGGGCCGAAAAACAATTCCCAGTGACGGGAATTCCATCCTCTACGAAGGAGAAAAGAAGATTCTCTTCCTTCTAAATTATCTGACCAAACCACCCCAGGACCCTCGGCCGCACCGCACGAAATGTTGATCACAGCAGCTGTGCCTAACGGTACAAATCATTAATTTGACTCGCATCAATAGCAAAAAAAGCCCCCTGTAAAAGAACATCTCTGTTGTAAACGAGCCATATCTCCTCATAATTCATGGGCAAAAAGACAGCCTTATTTACCACGATGTATCCCATCCACTAATTAAAATCCCGAAAAACTTTTCAACCACAAAAAGATACACCAGCTCAGTTACGACCACCGGGCGCCTCATCTGCCGAGGCTGGGGTGATGGCGGAGGGCGCCCGGGACCCGGAACGCCGTCGATGCGGCCGCCCGAGCCCGCGGGGGAGGCTGACAGTGACTACCACTGCCATCGGTCACGGCGAAGGTTATCCAGTCGACTTCGTGAGAATGCCGCGCCAGAGCGTCTGGGAAGGAGGGGAGAGGGTGCAGAGACGAGAGGAGCGGTCCGAGTCGTGACGACGCCACGCGGCGAGCACCGTTCGCCGTGGACAGAACGGGATGCCGCGCGGGGAGGGGAGGGGAGGGGAGAGAAGAGAGAAGACCGGCCGCGCGGGGAGGGGAGGGGAGAGAAGACCGGCCGAGAACAAGGAGCGGGTGTGCGGATTGAGCCCGGCGATGGAGAGGCTGAGGGGCGGGTTCGAGGAACGGGAGAGGGGTGGGGAGGGGAGCAGACGCGGCCTCCCCCGGCGCGCGGCAGATTTACGCCGA